CTAGCTCCTTGTCCTGTTGGGCTGAGAGGCCGGCAGGGTCTGGGGGCAGCACCTGTGCAGAGAGTGAGAAGGGGAAGCAGGAGAGGGGTCAAGGCCATGGTGTAGACACCCCAGAGCTCTGCCTCGTGAGTCCTCAAGGCACCGTGGGCTCCCCAGGCCTCTCTTGTGCCCTTTCAGTCCTCTGGGGCCCTGATGTTTCAGTGTTTATGCAAATGCACTCCCCATCTGGGTTCCAAAGTAAGCAGTTAGCAGAGATCATTTTTACCCCCTCCAGGGGGCAGGCTAGGTGACTGAGGAGGAAGGGCTGAGTGTCCAGATTCTTCTAGCTGCTTCTCAGGTCAGAAAACTATCCATGGACCCCTGATCATGGTCACCTTCCTAGGGTGTGTCCCAAACCCTCCCAGCTAGGCGTCTGTCCTGGGCTGGCTCAGCAGGGCTGCGAGCCTTCCAGGAGCCTGGCCACAGGGCTGAGCTGGGCCCTCTGAGATGTAAGTGACAACTCCTGACTCAGCAGGTGCAGGGCCCTGGTCCCGACCTCCTCCTCCTTCACATCCTCTCTCTGTCCCCACGCATGTACGAGTGTCCATCACCGGCTTTCATTAGATGTGGTTCCATGGGGTCAGCATGTGTGTACAGTGCCTCTTGTGTAATGTGTTCCTTGTTCAATGGGCTCCTGCTTTAGATGATTCACACCAGCTCCCAGTCTCACCCACACTGGTGTCTGTGTCCCTTCCTCCGCGCCCCTCTCCACACAGACTCGCTATGGGTGGTGTTGACCCTTTGGTCCTTCTAAAATGCTGCATCAGGGCTTTAACTGACCTGGAAAAGCTCCAGAAATCCACCTGACTGAGACCCCAGCTTCAGGATGTATCTGCTCTGTGAGGGTCCCCAGAGCCCTGGTGTTACACAGGTTGTAACCTCTGGGAACCAGACATTTTGGTCTCTCCTTTGAGGCTGAACTTGTTCCTGACAAGGACAGCCTGGTGACCAGAGCTGGACCTGAGCAGGGAGAATCCCCTTCTCTCCGAGAGTCTCCTGAAGTGTCTGTGCTGCTCCAGGCAGGGACCAGAGGTTCCGACTCTGCCCTCTTCCCCTGAGATGGCCCTGAGCAGAGCAGCTGCAGCCCCAGGGTCAGAGAGCACCCACAGGTGAGAACAAGAGGCAGAAAGTAAAGGTCAGGGTGTCCTTTTCCTGTCCAGACAGAGGGTCAGCCCCAGGATCCCTGCCAACAGTGAGGTGACCTGCATTTCAGGTAAGCATTCACATGTTCCTATCAGGGTCCAGCAGTGATGCTGTGTGAGTCTGACTGTCACAATGTGGTCTTTGGATCTCAGGGTAGAGATGGAACTTCCTGAAGTCCAACACCTGCACTGGGCCTTGGAACTGTTGACCCAAGGGCTGGTCTCCCTCTGAGCCTCCAGCTGGGCAGCCCCAGCTTCTGCCCAGGCTGCTCCTGGATGCAGCTCTGCTGCCCTCTGCTGGTGGGAGAACTCAGACTTGGAGTTTCCCTCTTGCAGGTCACCCAGATTGCTTGTCACCTGAGAGGGTGTGACCCCGGCCCTGTGCAGTCCTGCTCTGAGAGGTCACATAAGGACTGCAGGAAGGCGGGAGGTGCTGTTCTGGTCACGCTGTCCCAGGGTTACAAGGCCCTTCCTGCTGATTGGTTTAGTTAGAAGAGTAGAGGGTGCAGAATAAACTCTGTTCTTTTGCAACGTGTCAAATCCCGTAGAAACCCACATGCCACCCTACAGGGACCCAGGATTTCAGTGTATCTCAAACCAGAACTGTCTCTACCCTTTCCCCACTAAGGACTGTGGGACACAGACATTCCCATACTGACATCAGCTGGGCACTGAAGTCAGTGTCACTGCTGTCACCCCTAGGGCAGTGAGTCCATCTCTGACTTGCCTCCCAGAGTGAGCAGTGGGCGGGGTCTGCTCTGGCCTCTGTGGCCTTTGATGAGACTGGGAGCCTCCTGCTCCTTCAATCTGGGAGCCGACCCCTCCCCACAGAGGTCAGCATCTGCTGGTCCCTCTCCGGGCTCCCAGAGGATGTACTGTAGGTGCCAGACCTGAGCCCCAGATGACCTCCTGCCCAGTGTCTAAGACACTTTCCTTTCTTTTGTATCATTTAATTTTGAGGGAATGAAAGAGTTTCCAAAATTAAGTATCAAACTTTACATTTCATAGCAGGTGAAGTTGGGGCCTAGAGTCTAGGTCCCCAGGAAAATTGAGAAAATGCATTGAGTCCAGGAGAAGAGCCCCTAGTTCCTAGACCCTGACCATGGCTCTTTGGGGCCGAGCATGACAGAGGCAATGGGGGAGCATCAGCTCCAGGCTGGGTAGTAGGGTGGTGTCCTCCAGGCTCATTCTTGTCCCCTTATCCTCCTGGGTGTCATGAGAATCCCCCTCAACTGGAACGTTGTGGTGTCAGCAGCTGATCACAAGTTGGACCTGGAGAATCTCTGGGGACCCTCAGGCTGCTTTGCTCTGCAGGGTCTGTCCTGGGTACTTCTGGCTCTGCTCTGCTTTACTGATTGGTCCTCAGCTCCCTGACCAGTAGGAGTGACAGGTGTGTCATGGCCACTCTAGTGAAAGCAACTGTGTCTTCAGGAGACAATAGACCTGCAGGTCCCAGAAACAGACGGTCACTCTCAAGCGTCCCACCCCTTGCAGTATCCCCTGGGCTGAGCTCAGGCTCTGGGTTCAGTGAGTGTCAAGCCCACAGTCAGGGCCTGGGGACACCAGCTGAGCAGAATGAGCAGGAGAGGGGCCTGGGCCTCAGGGGTGATGCTCCGAGTCCTGCAGCCGGTTCTGACCCCAGCGGCCCCAGCCTCCCTCAGTGCTCAGCAGTCCCTGTGAGAATGCTTTTCAGAGGCCTGTGTGGGAGAGAGCTGTGTGTGGGCAGGATGTGTGGGTGCAGGTGGTGCCAGGCACTTACCCCTTCTCACGTACCGTACCTTGTACTGACGTGCTCTGTTTCTTTACTATATTTGTCCTTTATTGCCGATCCCACAAGGTCAAAGCTCCACGGGGAGGGCGTTTAGTCTGTCTCCTTCCCTGTAGCAGCAGCACAGTGCACAGGGTCTGAGACCCTCAGAGACTTGGCCCTCACTTCATACTGTTGCTCCCGTGAATATCTTCATGTGTCTGCAAGACATCAGATTACCACGCGTTATTCCAACTCCATTTCAGATTCTCTGACAGATGGCTTAGTCTAATTAGTGACTTGCAGAAAAAACAACTCAGTCTCATTCAACTAAAGCAGCGGAGGCAGGTCTTGGTGGTCTTCACCGCCCCCTTTGGCTTTTCCAGGGCCCTGGGACTCTGCCTTTCTCTCCCTGGTGAGTAGTGGGACGTGCCAGGCGGCCTCTGTCAGGTTCCTAGAGCACCTCGGCTCATGACCTGAAGAGTTTCTTCTCTCACAGGAGAAATGCAAATTCCTACAGTCAGATACAGGCACTTCAATGTCTTCCTTCAGAGAGGGGAGGGAGAGAGGGGGAGGGGAAGGGGGAGGGGAAGGAGAGACACTGATCAGTAATTACACCCCTTCTTGCTAAAACAAGAACCACAGACACAGTGGCTTCATGGCAAATTCCATCAAACATGTGAGGAAGAGTAAGTCCCACTCCACGGGGCTCTGTCACCACACCGCCGCAGGGGGGCGCCCTTTCTTATCCATTCTCTGAGGTCAGCAGGGCTGTGATCCCCGAGACACCTTCACATAAAGCAAACTGCAGAGGAGCACCCCAGCAGGGAGTCCACAAGCCTCAGGGACCTGTCAGGGGGAGGGACCTCACACAGGCACTCTGTGCACCCCAGGGGCCCCTTTGGACCCCTGGCCTTGCTCTGTCTCTCCACCTGTGTCTGCACCACAGTCCTGTTCTCCTGGCAAGGTCACACAGGTTTCTGGTAGGAAGCCTTTAGCCGAGTCTTGCTGGAAAATTCAGTCTCACTGTAACTCTCTTTGAATATATCTTCATGATTTCATACGATTGCCCTTGGTGGCATTAAATCTAACTGATGTTTAAAAGGGTTTTTATTTTAATGGTTGTGCTAGGGTCTACAGGACACAGCTGACTTACCAAAGTCCCCCTTCTAGTGCTGTCGTATCGCTTCACATAAGACATAAGGACATTCTATCATGTTTTCCACCCTCTGAAATTTTGCTCACATTGTCCTAGATTTTGCTTTAACTAACATTATAAATCACAGCATACCCTGTTACTGTTCTTCTGCTTTGAATATTATAAAATGTTTCTCTTTATGCACGTAGTTACCTTATCTGGTGCCTTTCATTTCTTTGCGTGCATTCCTCCTTCTGTCTGGGTCACGTCCCTTCCGTCGGAGGGCTGTCCTCCCTCCCTCCCTGCACTCAGGGTCTGCTAGTGGTCAGCTGTGCACGTGGCTGTGCGTGTGAGCAGGGGTGGTTCTGCCCCTTCCTCAGAGGCGTTTCTCTGGGCGGAGTTGGAAGCCGACAGCCTTTTGGTTGGGTTGTTGTCTGTTCTGAAGATGCTGCTCCCGGCTCCTCCTGGTTTCGTTGTTTCCACTGAGAACCCTGCGCTCCCATTACGGATCTTCCTGTGTGGGGGGACGTGACTTTTGCTCTGCTGCTTTTTGATGGTCTCCTCCACACGGGTGTGAGGGGTTTGGTTGTGACGAGTGTGGGCGCCGTTTCCTTTGTGTTTTAGGTGCTGGGGTGTGTCAAGTTTCTTAGATCTGTGGGTTCTTAATGCTCACCAAAATGAGAACGTTCTGGCCCATTTTTCTTCAAACATTTTTCCTTTCTACCCTCCCCTCCCCACCCTTCATATCTGTTCAGGGTCCCAGGCAGCCGTCAGATCCCGCGGCCTCAGGAGCTCAGACCAGGAGGACAGTTCTGGGGACTGATTCAGAGCCGTGGGCCCATGAGTGACACAGCCTCCATCACGTGGACATGCAGTGTCTTTCACCGCTGCCTGGATGTCTCCCTCTGTGTCCTTTCATTCAGGCCCTGTGTGCCTATTCACACCCTGGCCTTGAAATCCCCAGGACTTTCTGGTCCTGCGAGCCCTCAATGCACTGCTGCCTGCCCTCGGAGAACTGGGTGAGGGCTGGGAGGAGGGGGAGCCTGGGGATGTTAGACCTGGGGCCTGAGTCAGACCTGCTCATGGCTTTTTCTGTCCTCATACTTAGGCGGGAGGAGAGTGTGCACAGATGGGGAAGGGATTTTTGTCTCACTTCCCTGTCTGCCTGTGTCACTGTGAGTATTACTACCACTACTCTGCGTCACTGCACAGAAGTAGTCAGCCTCATCCTCAGCCCGGGCCCCGCTGATGGTCAGGGTGTTCGTGTCCCCTGAGTATGAGATAGAGAATCGGTCGGGGATCCCTGAGGGCCGATTGTTGTTCCCATAGACGACTGTTACAGGGGCCTGGCCTGGCTTCTGCTGCACCCAGGTAGGATAATAGCTTCTCAGGGACTCTCCCTGGCAGGTGATCCTGGCTGTCTGTCCTGGGCTCACAGACACTGCGGGAGGCTGAGTCACTGCAGAAGAGGCCACCAAACCTGTAGGAGAGGACAGGAGAGTGAGTGTGAGGATGAGGGTCTCCTTCCCAGACGGGCACACCCTGCGGAGTCCCCTGTGCTGAGCAAAGGCCAGGGCCAGGTTGCTCCTGGTGTCTTTGGGGGCTTAGCCTTGGGAGTCAGCACCTGTGCAGAGAGTGAGGAGGGGGAGCAGGAGAGGGGTCCAGGCCATGGTGGAGAAGCCCCAGGATCTTCCTCTGACCCACAGCTGACGATGTGGCTTCGGGGCCTGTCTTATCCTGCATAAGGGGCTCCATGCAAATCCACTTCCTTCCCCTTGTGGCCTTGCTGAGTGGCACCCGCTGGGCAGAGAGCAGCTGGGGTCAGTGGAGGGTTTAAAGCTGGGTCCTCACCTCCAGGTGTGCGCCCGGGATGCTCAGAGCTCTCTGTGGTGTTGAGGGGAAGGTGCTGACCCCTGACCAGCCCCTGCAACCACAGGTGGGCTGAGTCTCCTGTCTGGTTTTGGGGAGAAGGCTCAGTCCCCTCCAGGGATGAGATCACAGTGTGGTGTGGGGTGGGGGTGCTGGAAACAGGAGCCGGTAGGGACAGTGGTCAAGCTGGTGCAAGAGGCTGGAATTTGCTCCAAGACACAGTGACACTGGTCACGTGCCTCTTGGGGAATTTCTATTACACTTTAGAAAAGAAAAATCTTTTTCATGTTGATCTTGGCAAGAATTCTTAGATTTCATAGAAATACTTAACATGTAAAAGGATAGAAAATATATGGAAACTCTTTAAAATTAAAAACTTTGTTCTACAAAAGTCTCTTTTATGGAGTTACTGTGAAAAAACAATACAGTCGGAGAAAGTATTTGGCAATCCCAATCCATCAAGGAAGTATTTGTGTAAAGTGTTGAAACTAAGTAATACACACAGCAAACAGCCCTGGCCGGGGGCTCAGCTGGCTGGAGCAGCGTCCAAATGCAGCAGGGGTTCGGGTCTGACCCCTGGTTGAGGGGCAGACGGGAGTCGACAGAGGATGGGCGGAGCAACAGAGTTGTGTTTTTCTCAAATCCTTTAAAAAGTTTAAAAAATAAACAAAGTAAATTCAATTTAAAAATGGGCAAATGACATGGACAGTTGATGGAAAAATATACACATGTCAAGAAAACATAAAATGTTCATCAGGAGCCACCAGAGAAGGTAAGTTAAAACCAGAGCGAGACACCTGCACACCAGTCAGCACGGAGCAGACTGACTGAAGTGAAACCGGGGCAGCACCAGACACTGGTCAGGCAGTGAGAAGGGGGTCACTCAGTGTCAGTAGGAAGGTCAGACGGCAGAGCCACAGTGGAAATACAGTCATGTGGTTAATATAGAGCTGAACATGCAGTTACCATACAACCAGTCACTGCATCACTGGGCATTTATCTCAGAAAATGAAAAACTTATATTTATATAGAAACCCATACACAACTGTTCACAGCACCTGTCTAGTCCTCTCAGGCTGTGGTAACCAAACACAAGTGAGTTGCTTAAAGTTGAAAGTCAGAGAGAGAGAGACAGAGAGAGAGAATGACAGAGAGAGACAGTCTGGTCAGTGATCCCATCAGACCAGAGCCCCACCCATGACACATCCTGTGGCTTTTATTACTTCCTTGGAGTCCCTGCCTCCACATACAGCTACACTGGGAGTAAGGACTTCAACGTCCGAACTTCAGAAGACACAGTCACTCAGTTCATACCAGCGCCCTTACACATAGGAGCCCCAAACTGGAAACAATTCAGATGTCCTTCAAGATGATGGTTAAACAGACACTAGTACATGCAAACCACACAATACTATTCAGTAAAAACATGGACTATTGATAAACACAATATCCTTGATGAGTGTATGAAGAAATATGATGAATAAATGAGCAATCAAAACACATTACATTCTGTAGGATTCTATTTCTACAGAATTTTTCCAATGACAGAATTTGAGAGATGGAGAAGCAGGTGATGGCTGCAGGGCTGAGGGGCAGGGGAAGGGTCTGGGTGGGAGGAGGTGGGTGTTGTAAAAGGGAAACACGAAGAGTCCACGTGTGATGGGACTGCGGGGAATCCTGACCGCTGTGGTGGGCGCAGGTGCCTGCACGTGGGATGGAAGGGCATAGCGTGGCCAGTGTGGCTCAGTTGGTCAGAGCATCACCCTTGATCATAAGGTTATGGGCTTGATACTCAGTCTGGGTGTGTATGGGAGGCAATCAATCAATGTTCTCTCTCTCATGGATGTTTCTCTCTCTCCCTTCCTCTCTGTCGCTTTTTTTTTTTTGTCACTAAAAACAATGAAAAAAAGTACTTGGGTGAGGAAAATAAATAAATAAATAAAGTGTGTAAGAAGAAATACACACTTACATACCCACAAACAGGAGGATCCAAATTTTAAAAAATATCTGTAGATCTGATTCAACACTTCACCAAGAAAGAAGATGCACATGTGAGAATAGGCACCTAAAGATCTGCTCACCGTCACAAGTCACTAAGGTGATGAGCACGACAGACAGATACAGAGGCACACACACCATGTGGAACAAGAAGAAAGTGGAGAAAGGGGTGCATGACACGGGGTCAGGTAAGACAGGGTCAGCTGCTCTGGAGGGATGACACAGAACCTGACTAACGGGGAGAAACCCAGGTCTCACCAGAGTGACAGACAGACAGACAGACAGAGGCAGAGAGTGACAGTCTGAGAGATGCAGAATGCACCAAGGGAAGGGGACAGCTCACCACACACTCTCACTTTTGGCCCAGCCTGCCTGTCACCCCCTCAGCCACATCCCCTCCAGCTGCCTCCAAGGGCAGGTCCTGGCACCTGTGTCAGCTGCTCCCTGGGGTTACTGTCCAGAGCTCAGCAGGCTTTAATTATTCCCCTACTGTACCAGTGACACCGTGTGATGTCCATTCTGGAGATCCCAGCGTGAAGTCCTGGGATGAATCCCACAATCATGAGACAGGACTGGATGAACCTGCTCAGGTGAGTCCCAGCATTGCCCCTCACCTACCTGTGAGCAGGAACCAGATCACTGTGGTCCACGCAGCTGCTCCAGGCTGACTCTATGGTGTCGGTGTGAGTGAAAGGTTCTGGTATTTCAGTTCCCGGGAAAGTTAGCAGAATATCAATCCTGTCCCCATCCCCCCACAGATGCAGTTGAGGCCAGTGACCCACAAGGCAGAGACTGGAGGTAGGAGGTCGTTGACATATTTTCCACCTCAGCATTTCCATCCCCCGTGTCTCAGTGGACATTGTCCTGGCCTGTCCCTAGAAAACTCCCGTGGGCTAATGTGGAGCCTTCCTTGGCATAAGAGGCTGAGAGTCCGGCTCAGCTCGAGGACCCAGCCCGAGCTCCACGCGGGTCCTGCCCCAGACATCCCAACAGGCACCCGCTTCCCTTCCGACCCAGCTCTGCTCCCAACTCGGCATCAGGTCTCTCAGTCCTGCCTCTGCTCAGGGACAAATGCTTCCTGTCAGACCTCAGTCCTGACAGCGCTCCTGCTTCACTCCCAGGTGTCCTGAGTCAAAACAGGCAGTGTTGCCACTTCCACGGTCAACCCTGGAACACCAAGGTCTACGTTCCTTCCTTGAGAAGAACCCCAAGATGGGAGCAAAGGCCAGATGGCACCTGGGGTCGGTCATCTCAGCCCAGCCACTCGCTCAGGGTCATGTTCCTGCCTGGCCTGATCGGGTCTCACAGAGTCCTGCCTACAACCTTTTATTGGGGTAAACAGGGTATTGCTTTGTGAAAATGACCTAAATTGTGACTATATCTGAGATTTTCAAGTGGTGATTTGGGGAGGAAGTACAGGACGAGGGGATTTGCAGGGGAAGATGTAAATGTCTCAGGGTCCTGGGCAAGGACAGGGAGCAGCTTAGCCCAAGTCCCTGTGGGGGAGGGGATGAGGGATGGAGGTGTGGGCCTCACTCCTCTTTGGTCTGTGTCTCTGCAGCTTCTGTGAAAAGGCTGTTGTGCGTGTGGCTTTCACCACAAACATAGTCAGTCTCGTCCTCAGACTGGAGGCTGGAGATGGTTAAGTAGCAGTTGGCCCCAGAGCTGGAGCCTGAGAAGTGATCAGGGATCCTGTCCCCACTGCTGTGGCTTCCATCACTCTTAATGTACATCAGGTCCCGAGGGCCATTTCCTGGTCTCTGTTGATACCAGCGAATGGTGTAGCTGCTGTGCTCACTGCTGAGGGTGCAGGGGAGCTTGGCTGGGGCTCCCAAGGAGGCAGAAGCACATGGGAGCTGGGTCAGCACAGGCGCAGCACAGAGACCTGCAGACACAAAACACGGGGATGATGCCAAAGGCACCCAGACTGGACAGATGCCCCTTGGGACTGTGCTTGGAAGGAAACTGTTGGGGAGTGGGACCCCTGTGTACCCACAGATGCCCTGACCTGTGGAGAAAACCAGGGGCAGGAGGAGGAAGGGAGCCCAGGCCATGGTGGGAGCAGCTTCCAGGAGCTCTGCCCTGAGGCTGCCCAGCTGGCTCTGGCCTCTCCAAGCCCCTGTATTGTCCTCTGTCCTTGCAGCTCAAGAGGAAGGAGAATTGAATGGAAATCTGTTTTCTGCTCCTCAACTTGCCTGTCTCAGCTCTAGTCTGAGCCTAACAGCCTCCTGATGGTAATTTCCTGAGGCCAGAGGAAGGTCCTGGTGGGGGTTTCAGTGTTAAGAGTTGATTTTAACTGACAGACGTGTCTTCCAAGAAACCTCAGTCAGGCCCTTTGCACTGTGCACAGCCCAAGGGACTGGGACCTATTATGGGTGCCCAGATCAAGACCCACAGGGCCCCCTGGTGCTCCCAGGATGAATGTCACTCTGGATCAGTGGGAACTGTAGCAGTGGGGAATTCTAACCCACTCCCCCCATTCTTTTGACATTGTTTCTGTAAGTGCGGACTCTGACTAATATGAATCTTGTAGATAAACAGCTTGTTTGTATAAGAATCCCAGGAACTAACTTCAAAAGATACAGACTCTCGGCTTTGGGAGATCTGCTGACCCCCAACCTTGGAGTCAGGTGACATGTCGGGATGAGGTGAAGCCAGGACAACTACACCGGGATGACCCACACGGGACCATCAGCCTTGTCGGGTTGGACTGTGCTCATCTGCACGTAGAGAGCTTTTCAATCCCCTCCCTTCACCTCTTTTCTCTGCTCCCCTTTCCCTCCTTGTAAACACCTCTGCTCCGCTGAGAGGCGGAGATGGGCTTTGAGGCATGCGTCCCCCATCTCCCGGTGTCCGGCACCTGAATGCATCGCTCTCCTTGACATCGGCACT